GCCATGTATTAGTTTCCTGTAACTGCTGTAACAAATTACCACAGCAGCTTAAAACAACAGAAATTCATTCCCTCACAGTTCTGGAGACCAGAAGTCTGAAATAAATATCAATGGTCTGAAATCATGGAGTGGGGAGGGGCGTACTCCCTCCGGAGGCTCTAGGGGAAAATCTCTTCTTTGCTTCTTCCAGCTTCTGGTTGCTGCTGGCATTCCTTGGCTTGTGGCTATGTCACTCCAGTCTCTACCTCCATGGTCACACGGCCTTCTCTCTTACGTGTTTGTGTGTACATGTGTGTGTGTCAAGTCTCTCTCTGTGTCACCTCTTATAAGGACACATGTAATGGCATTTAGGGTCCACACAGATAATCCAGGCTAATCGTCTGCATCTCAAGATCTTTAATTTAATCACATCTGTTATTGTTGTTAGGAGCCATCGAGTTGGTTCTGACTCAGAGCGACCTTATGTACAACAGAACAAAACACTGCCCCATCCTGTGCTATCCTCACAATCGTTGCTTTGTTTAAGCCCATTGTTGCAGCTACTGTGTCATTCCATCTTGTTGAGGGTCTTCCTCTTTTTGTCTGACCCTCTACTTTACCAAGCATGATGGCCTTCTCCAGGGACTGGTCCCTCCTGATAACATGTCCAAAGTATGTAAGACAAAGTTTTGCCATCCTCGCTTCTAAGGAGTATTCTGGCTGTACTTCTTCCAAGATGGAAAATTAAAACAAGTACACAAGAGCCAAAGTACAACCTTGAGTATATCCCACCTAAATTTAGAGACCATCTCAAGAGCATATTTGATGCATTGAACACTAATGACCAAAGACCAGATGAGTTGTAAGATGACATCAAGTACATAATACATGAAAAAAGCAAAAGACAGGAAAGAAAGAAATCACCAAAGTGGATGTCAGAAGAGACTCTGAAACTTGCTCTTGATAGTAAGGTAGCTAAAGTGAACAGAAGAAATGATGAAGTAAAAGAGCTGAACAGAAGATTTCAAAGGGCAGCTCGAGAAGACAAAGTAAAGTATTATAATGAAATGTGCAGACCTGGAGTTAAAAAACCAAAAGGGAAGAACATGCTTGGCATTTCTCAAACTGAAAGAACTGAAGAAAAAATTCAAGCCTCGAGTCGCAATTTTGAAGGATTCTATGGACAAAATATTGAATGACGCAGGAAGCACCGAAAGAAAATGGAAGGAATACACCAAAAAGAATTGATCGACATTCAGCCATTTCAGGAGGCAGCATATGATCAAGAACTAATGGTAATGAAGGAAGAAGTCCAAGTTGCACTGAAGGCATTGGCAAAAAACAAGGCTCCAGGATCTGATGGAATACCCATTGAGATGTTTCAACGAACAATGCAAAACATGCTGGAAGCACTTGCTCATCTATGCCAAGAAATTTGGAAGACAGCTACCTGGCCAACCAACTGGAAGAGACCCATATTTATGCCAATTCCCAAGAAAGGTGACCCAACAGAATGCGGAAATTATCAAACAATATCATTTGTATCACACACAAGTAAAATTTTGTTGGAGATAATTCAAAAACAATTGCAGCAGTACATCGACAGGGAACTGCCAGAAATTCAAGCAGTATTCAGAAGAGGACCTGGAATGAAGGGTATCATTACTGATGTTAGATGGATCTTGGCTGAAAGCAGAGAATACCGGAAAGATATTTACCTGTGTTTTATTGACTATGCAAAGGCATTCAACTGTGTGGATCATAACAAATTATGGATATCATATCTGTAAAGACCTTTTTTTAAAATTTTTTTTATTGTACTTTAGATGAAGGTTTACAGAACAAATAGTTTCTCATTAAACTGTCAGTACACATATTGTTTCGTGGCATTGGTTAACAACCCCACGACATATCAACACTCTCCCTTCTCGACCTTGAGGACCTTTTTTTTGGTGAAAATATACATAGCCAAAGTTACACCATTTCAAAAGTTTCTATGTGTAGAATTCAGTGACATCGATTACATTCTTCCAGTTGTGCTGCCATTCTCACTATCCTTTTCCAAATTATTCCATCACCATTATCTTCAACTCACTGTCCCTTAGGCTTCCCATCAAACCTTTTGAGTTGCCGTTGTCAATTTGATCACACATAGATAATTCTTTTTTTTTTTTTTGTACCTTAGATGAAGGTTTACAGAACAAATAGTTTCTCATTAAACAGTACACATATTGCCCTATGACAATGGTTAACAACCCCATGACATGTCAACACTGTCCCTTCTCAACCTTTGGTTCCCTATCACCAGCTTTCCTGTCCCCTCCTGCCTTCTAGTCCTTGTCCCTGGACTGCTGTGCCTCATTAGTCCGTTTTGTTTTGTGAGGCTGTCCAATCCCCAGCTGAATGGTAAACTTTGGGAGGGGCTTCACCACTGAGCTAAAAGGGTGTCCAGGGGCCGTACTCTCGGGGTTTCTCCAGTCTGTCAGGCCAGTAAATCTGTAAAGACCTTTTTTTCAATAAGATAACATTTACAGATTCCAGGGGTTAGGAAATGAATATCTTTTGGGGGGGCCTTTTTGAAGCCTACCACAGACCAAGACGCAAGTCTGATCCTGAGGGAGGGAAGATGGGGAGGAAGTGTCCTAGCCTGTCTGCACTCTAAGGAAGGCTTGGTGGGGTGTCGGGGAATCCTGAGTTGGCCACCAGAGTTGCCCTTTGTCTCCTGGAACAGGCCTGCCTTGGTATCCCAGCCACACTCAGTCACTGGGGGTGCAGTGGGGGAGCCCATGAGAGCATGACCTCAGTGCAAATGCAGGGATGGATTTCAGAGCACAGCAGCTGGGCCCTTGGTCTGTCACGTTCCCAGTAGTTGGAGGTCTGCAAAGTGCGTTCTCATGGCCACTGAAAAACTCAAGAAACAGAAGACCCAGGAAAGGAGGCTAAGGGTGGCCCTTGCCTCAGGCCTTTTTGATGATGAAAGGAGCCCAGGCCTTATCTTGAGTAAGTTTGGTTTTATTAGCAACTGCCTGGGTTACTGGGAGCCCCTGGGCAGTATAGATGATTAACACACTTGGCTGCTAACCATAAAGGCTGGAGGTTCGAGTCCACCCAGAGGTGCCTCAGAAGAAAGGCCTAGTTATCTACTTCTGAAAAGTCAGCCATTGGAAACTCTATGGAGCACAGTTCTACCTGAAACACATGGGGTCACCATGAATTAGCATCAACTCGACGGTAACAGTTTTTTTTTTTGGTCTAGGTTAGTAGTTTAGGAAGGCTAGTTCTAGTTTTACCATGGTGCCGATTTCAGTCTTCTGAATTAATTCTTTTGCGGTCAGAGTTCCAGATGAATTGCCTCTTTCCTGATGTTGTAAACCATAAATCCTTGAAGCAGATGGATTTGGCCAGTAGCCCTGCGGTCAAGGCCAGGCTCCCTTGGAAGGGACAGGCCCCAAGTTACTCAGAAGCCATATCTGCAGCTGGGTATTTTTAGATGCTTAAGGGATTAAGTGGGTCACACGTTCTCACTCCCTGCCTGCCCCCTCTCTAACCCAGCATTTCCCAGACTGCTCGTTTGCCTGCAGATTAATCTTCATGTGGGGCCTAGTGAGGAAATTTTTCAAGCCCTGGTGGTGCAGTGATTAAGAGCTCAGCTGCTAACCAAAAGGTCAGCAGTTCGAATCCACCAGCCACTCCTTGGAAACCCTATGGAGCAGTTCTACTCTGTCCTACAGGGTTGCTAGGAGTTGGAATTGACTCGACAGCATGGGTTTGGATTGGTTTTGGTTTTAAATTACTTGTCAGGTTTTCTCTCCACGTATCTTCTTCACTCACTAAGGGATTAAGAGCATGTGCTCTGGAGCCAGATGATTCCAATCCTGGCTCTGCCACTAACTGTGTGCCCTTGGAAAAGTTACTTAATCTCTCTGTGTCTCAGGTTCACCATCTGTAAAGAGGAGGTGATGATGGTACCTTATCTCCTAGGATTATTGTGAGAATTCAGTCAGGAATACATGTAAAGCATTTAGCACAGTGCCCAGCGTGATGCAAATGTTTTCTAATTAAGTGTGCCTGGAATATTTACCTAGGGCACCCTGGGTTTTCCCGCTGCCACACCTTCGCGCTGGCTGGTTCCACTGTCTGGAGGCCCTCTACCCCATGTCCGCTTGTCTAAAAGCCCTTCGCCATCTTTCAAGCCCAGGGCAGTGTTCCTTCCTCTGTGAAGCTCTCCTTGATATCCCAATCTGGTATGGTCTTTCCTACCTCTGACCTCGTTTTCCCATGGGATATCTCCTCTAGAGATGGTTATTGCCATACCTGCCACAGTGTTTCTGGAAGTTTCTGGAAGGCCAGCTTGGATAGTGTATGGGTTGAGAGTGTGCTGTTAGAAGTCAAATGGATTTCTTTTTTTGTGGTGAAAATATACAGAAAACATAAACCAATTCAACAATTTCTACATGTATAATTCAGTGATATTGATTACATCCTTCAAGTTGTGCAACCATTCTTGCTGCCCTTTTCCAAAGTATTCCACCACCATTAACATAAACTCACTGTCCCCTAAGCAAAATAAAACAGGTTTCAATCTGAACCCTGGTAGCATAGTGGTTAAGGACTTGGCTGCTAACCGAAAGGTCCACAGTTTGAATCCACCACCCTGTCCTTAGAAACCCCATGGGGCAGCTCTACTCTGTCCTATAGGTTTGCTATGAGTCAGAATCAACTCGATGGCATTGGGTTTGGTTTTTTTGGTTCTGCCACTTATTGGCTGTATGACCCTGGGCAAGTTACTCCATCTCCAGTGCCTCCGTTTCTCCACCTGTTAAATGGGAGTAATAGACAGGACCTTCCTCATGGGGCTGTCATAAGGTTTAGCTGAGGTAGTGCTTGAGAAGTGTGTTGGCTGGTGCCAGGTGGCTGTCAGGATATGTGTGTGGGGGGTGAATGAGTGACTTGGGTGGTGTGGGAAGCCCCTCCGGCTTCCTCCAGCAGGCCATGTCCTGACCCACAGCCCTCCTTTCCAGGGTCTGCTCCAGCCGGAGCCACCCAGCAGTTCTTTCTCCTGCCTCTGTCTGAAGAAGATGCCCCACACTCCTTAAAAACCAGCCTCCCTGCTTCATCTGATTCAAAGGTAAATCCCCTCCCCCAAGGAAAGTCCCTCCAGCTTGTGGTTCCCTCTCAAAAAAGGAATTGCTTTATTCCCTGAGACCACTTTGAGGGTGGGAGTGGGGAGGAAGGAGACCCATCAAGTTACTCCAAGTTTCTAAGACTGTAAGTACAGCAGTCAACAAAACGGAGGAGGGGGGATGGCGGTGCTTTAGTGAGCACAAGCTTTTAGTGAGCCTTTCCATTATTTGTGTTTAAATGAGGACTGGTAATTAGCATCACCCCTCCAAAACATGTTGGTTACAATAGTCCTTTGCTTACAACTGTGCCCCTACGTTTTTTCAGCCCCTTGTATGTCGGAGCTATCCTGAGTTTTGAATGATTTGGGTACAGAGCCACATTATGACTTCCACCGCCCCGGCACTTTTGCCTTCATGTGTCCCTTCCTCCATTAAAAAAAAAATTAAAAATTATACTGTATGACTGTATTGGTATAGAGACAGATAAAATCCAGGCTGGATTAAAAATTAAAACATTTCCTTTGACCCTAAAAGTTCTTTCCTCTTCTTCTTATTTTAAGGGAAATTAAAATGTTTTCATGGATTCCCAAAAGTTCTATGGGCCCTGGGACTACACCTGCTGTGCCTGCTGGGGAAGTTAGCTCTGCTTGGGTCTGCTTAATGAAGCTCTTCTATAAAGGAGACTTGCTTAAGCAATGTTTTTTGTTTTTAATAATTAATCGTATTTTGAGAGATTATTTACTAACTTGGGAGAACGATCGTGGTGTAAGTGAAAACAACAGAAATCAAATCTGTGTATGCAACATGGTCCCAGTTTTGTTAAATAAACCCTTGTATATTTCATTGGCATGAAATACTCTAAACTTTAATAGCAATTCAGTGGCTAATGGGATTATAGATGATTTTTCTCCCTAATATTCTATTAACATTTGTAGTAAAAGCATATGTAACTGTGGGACGAAGAACTCGATTCAGCCTTTGTCTCTGGTTTCTGAAAGATAGCTCTTGTAATTTCTTTAGCAATTAAGGTGACTTTCTTATATAAAACCTTTGGGCAACTGTGAGATGTTTGCCAATGATTTGGTAGCCCCAAATACCACACCTGGCAACTAACCTCAGGAAGGGATGGGGGCATGATGCAATAAATAACTCGTATTCATTAAGTCAGTCCATCCTGACTATGCAGTGAGGCCCCAACCTTGACTATGTAATATTATAAAAGGCCCTGAACACAGAAGTAGTTGAACTTCCTGGATTGGTGAAAACACCCATGCAGAGGAGAAGGTAGCATGTCCCTGAGGACAATAGAGACCCAGTGCCAAGACCCCTACCAAACCTCACCTGATTGTATCTCTTAGTTTGTATCCTTTCTGGCTATGATATATGGGTAACTGTAGGTATGGTAATAGTCTCCTTGAATTCTGTGAGCTGTTGTAAAGAATTAATGAACCCACAAGGGACAGTGAGCTAACAGGGGCTGGTGTCTGCCTACTTGGCATTGGGACAAAAGTCTTTCTAACTTGTGAACTCTGACTTAGCTTGGGGTGGCTGATTCAGAGGCAGGCTGCGCAGGCAGTCAATCAGAAGGACAGAGTCCTTCTAATTTGTCTGTTTCAGCGTAGCTCAGGGTGGCCAGAGATGAGAAAGTACCACATGGGTGGGTGGCTGGCAACGAGGATATTGGAGATATGGGAAGGTAAAGACTAGATCCATTTCCCGGTAGGGATTGGATTCATGCTGCTCCTTACCACACAGTTAGCAATGAAGGTGGGGTTTGCCCATCTTGCTCTTTGCTTAGTGCAGTTAGCGTGGTAACTTAAAAAAAATTAAATTTATGCATACAAACCTATTTTTAAAAAGGGAAGTTATTGAAACACAGCTGATTTTTATAGGCTTATACATGCACGTGGTCTCCAAAGCTCTGATTATAGAATCAAGTTTGGTTATATGAACCCGTATCCTATGTACATCCTGGGAATCTGGAGGCGCAGCATGTATACCATGTATAGGACCAGGGCACTCAGCTCGGCCATTGACACTGTATGACCACTCCTCAGCCCCTTGACCTCCTTGGTACCCACCTCTGTAAGCTGGAAAAAAAAGACAAACTAACATTTATTAGACATCAACCATGTCCTAGGAATACACTTTAGTTAATCCTCAGAATTACCCTCTGAGGTACTATTATTATCCTCATTTTTGCTGATGAGGCAATTGAGGCTCAGAGTGGTTAAATAACTTGCCCAAGGTCACAGAGCAAGTTAGAAGTGGAACTGGGATTTGAGCTTAGGCCTATCCATGTTCTTTTTAGTGCTCCTCACTGGATAAGGTGATCCCCTCTATGATTATTGCAGAATATTTTCATAAATCAAGAAAATTATAAATAAGAGGATGGAAATCACCCCACCTACTTTCCACAGCCCCTATAAACAACCACTCCATATTAATATTCGGATATGTTTCCTTCTAATCCTTTTTCTCTTTATACCTGTGTATGAATACACACACATATATCCCTATATACGCATTTAATCAAAACTGGAAGTATAATTCCCTTTCCACTTTGGCACAGTGACTTTGTTGGGTTTGTTCATTGATTGTTTCAGCAAACATGAATTGTCAAGCCCTTTCCTAGCTCTGATGTCCTAGATTCCCTGATGTAGTGGAGAAAACAAGCTTCCATAGCAATGTCTGTCTGTCTCTCTGAATTACCAGGATTTCGGCACCTCTATTCCTAAGCAGGAAAAACTTTTGAGCCTGGCTGGAGACAGCTTTCTCTGGAGTGAGGCAGACGTGGTCCAGGCAACCAACGACTTCAACCCAAACTACAAAATCAGCGAGGGTACTTTTGCTGTCATCTACAGAGGGCAAAAGCATGGCACGCCCTTCGTCTTCAAGAAGCTCAAGGAGGCAAGTGCTTCTTAATTTCTAGTAAGGGGTGGAGGTTGCCTGGGTAAGACTGGGTTTTCATGTTTAAATGTCTTTTTCCACAGGCGGCCTGCTCAAGCCCAGGATCAGTCGAAAGATTCTTTCAGGTGGAGGTACAGGTGTGTCTTAGGTAAGCCTGCCCTTGGAAAACACTTTATTAATAACAGTAGCTAACCCTTCTATAGTGCTTCCTATGCATCAGGCTTGTTTTAAGGACTTTATATGTATAAACTCATTTAATTCTCACAATAACCTTATAGTGTAGCTACTATTATTACGTTATTTTTCAGAGGAATAAAAGGAGGCACAGAGAAGTTATGTGTCTTGTCCAAGGTCACACGGCTAGTAAGTGGTAGAGTCGGGATTTAAACCCAGGTGGTCTGGCTTCAGAGTCCATGCTTTTTTATGTAGCTACTTGTAGGCATAGATTAGAATTTTAAAAATACCTTGATTTACTTAGCACAACTCCTTCCTTCCAAGGAGGAAGAAATGTGTTTTTATCCCATTTTTAGAGATGCAGCAGACTTACAGAATCCAACTTTATATAGCCCTGAAAGCTGAAGTCAGCCAACTACGACCTGCTGGCTACATTCTGCCTGCTGCCTCTTTGTAGGGACTGCAAGCTAAGAATGATTGTCACATTTTTATTTAAGTGGTTGAGAAGAATCAGAAGAAGAAGAATATTTTGTGACACATTAAAATTATATGAAATTCAAATCTCAGTGTCCATAAATAAAGTTTTATTGACATACTCATTCATTTACATATCGTAATGTAAATTTATATATCGTAGCAGCATCTATGGCTGCTTTAGTACTTTAATGCAGAGTTGAGTAGTTGCAGCAGAGACTGTATGGCCTATACAACCCAAAATATTTACTACTTAGCCCTTTACAGAAAAAATTTTCTAACCCTGGTCTAGAGCAATAAATCTCTTCAAAAGTCATCCTCAAACTCACTCATTTTACAGATGAGGGAACTGAGGCTGAAGAAGTGAAGTGAGCCTCCCAGTCACAGGTATGGACTGGGAAGGAGAAGGGGAAGGACTGTTTGGAGACCTGGGGCTCTACCATCATTGACTGATAGACTTAAATGCGTGTTGAGACCTGTCATGTGCTGGACACCAGCTGTCAGCCAGCCTTGGCAAGTGACTGTCTGGGTTTCCTCTGCCTATGTGGAGCCTTGGACAAGTAAACATGACTATTGTAGAGTATTTTCATAAATCAAGAAAATTATAAATAAGAGAGTGGAAATCACTCCACCTACTTTCCATAGCCCCCATAAATAACCACTCCTGTATTAATATTTAGGTATGTTCCCTTCTAATTCTTTTTCTGTTCATACATGTGTATAAACACACACACACACACACACCCCTTTACACACATTTAATCAAAACTGGAAGTATAATTCCCTTTCTACTTTGGGACAATGGCTTCATGGAGTTGGCATCCACTCATTCATTGATTGTTCCAGCAAATGTGAATTGTCAAGCCCTTTCCTAGGCTCTAGGGAGTGCAGACTTGAAGAACACCCAGCCCGTCTTGGAGAAGTTTATGGTCCAATGGGGAGACTGATGTGTAAATAGCTAACTCAATAATGAGTATGAAAATCATGAAGTTGGATGCACTGGGGGGAGTGGAGGAGGGCAGAGAGCTCAGGCAGGAGTCCATTTGTAATAGTTCTGGGGAGATTTGATCAGGGTCTGACCCAAGGGAGAGGAGAGGGGAGTGAGGGGGAAATCTTGAAAGCTATATATGACAGTTAGTGGTGACTAATTAGATGTGGGAGGTAAGGAGGTTTTTAGGAAACTAGGTGGACAGTGGTGCCCTTTGCTGAGATAATAAATATGAGCGGAGAAGTTGGTTTGGGACTTACTGAGTCTAGAACATTCCCCTGGAGCATCAGATGCTGTTAGACACAGGTTAGAGCTCGGCATGGGGCTAGAGATATGAGACTTAGGAGTGTTCTTCAGAAAGATCGGAGGTAGCTAGAGGAGCAGCAGATAAAACAAGATGATGGGCCTGGCTGGGGAACACTCATAACTCAGAGGAAGGCAAAGGAGGAAGGTCTTAGTGAAAAGATCAAGAAAGAGTAGTCAGAGAGGTAAGAGGAGAGTCAGGAGGGAATGGTGACTCAGAACCCTGTGACGAAGATTTTGGGGAAGAAGCCCAGTCCTGGAGTCAGGAGTCAAACAGACCTGGGATCTAGTCCTTGGCTTCAATGTTTGCTAGATTGTGACCGTGGGCAAGTTCCTTAACCTCTGAGGCTGTCTTTCTGGAAGATGGAGTGGTTAAGGTGTCAAATACTGCAGAGCAGTGAGGCAGGATGAGGACCACTAGACCTAGAGCTCTTTGAGGGCAGCCAGGTTTCGTTCTTTCCCCCTGGTGCTGGCCCCTCAGGGCTCAGCGCATATGATGCGTGGGAGGGGACTGGTGGCCTCAGGGGAGGGGAGAGGGAAGAAGAGGGATCACAGAGGTGGGAGGGGAAGAAGCAGAACAGCCTTTGATTATTCTTTCTGTCTGGCTCCTCACCCCTGCACTGATGCTTGCTTTCAGATGCTGCCACCCCAACGTCTTACCTCTGCTCGGCTTCTGCACTGGAAGCCGGTTTCATGGCTTGATCCACCCGTACATGGCAAATGGTTCGTTACAGGACAGACTCCAGGGTCAGGTAAAGGACTGGGTCATGGTCAAAGAATTCGGCAGCACCCAGGTAGGGAACCTAGGGTTAAGGACTTACAGGAATCCAGAGGGGAGAGAGGCTATCCAGGAGAGACCAGGGAGGGCTCAAGAAGTTGGGCCCCAATAGATAAGGTCTGATAAGCATCCTCAGGTAAAAACCTATAAAAAATTATTTAACAAGAGGTATCTCATTCAAGTCAAGAATAAGACAAAGGTGTCCCATAGCACTAATTGTATTCAACATTGTTCTGGAAGTCTTAGCCAATGCAGTAGGACAAGAAAAAGAACTAATAAAAATTGTTGAGAAGTGGAAGCAAAATTTTATTATGTTATTCCAGTCTATTAACAGATGAATGGATAAATAAAATGTGATGTATACATATAATAGAATGTTATTCAGCCATAAAGAAAAATGAAGTTCTAATACATGCTAAGGAGCCCTGGTGGCGCAGTGGCTAAGAGCTCAGCTACTAACCAAAAGGGCGGCAGTTCGAATCCACCAGCTGCTCCTTGGAAACCCATGGGGCAGTTCTACTCTGTCCTGTGGGGTTGTTATGAGTGTCAGAATCGACTCAACAGCAACAGGGTTTTTTTTTTTTTACTTAAATACATGCTAAAACATGGATGAACCTTCAAAACATTATGCTGAGCCAATAAGCCAGACACAGAAGGATAAATATTGTATGACCCACTTACATGAAATATATAGAATAGGCAAATGCATAGAGACAGAAGTTTGTTGGTGGTTACCGGGGCTGGAGGGAGGGGGAAATGGGGAGTTATTGCTTACTGGATACAGAGTTTCTGTTTGGGGTGTTGAGAAAGTTTTGGAAATAGATAGTAGTGATGGTTGCACAACATTGTGAATGTAATTAATGCCACTGAACCATACACTTAAAAATGGTTAAAACGGCAAATTTTAGGTTGTATATATTTTACCACAATTAAAAAAAAAAAAACACTTAAAAGCAAAGAAATTGCTCCCAATATCTACCTATTTGTTTGTGCATTAATGGAATATCTCTGGAATGATATATAGCAAACTGGTACCCTGTCTACCTCTGGAGAGGAGAACTAGGTGGCTGGGGCACAGGATGGGAAGGAAACTTTGACTATATACCCTTTTGTGCCTTTTGAATATTATATCATGTGAATGTAATACTTATTAAAACATAACGATTTTTAAAACAAACAGGCCCCCTCCCCATAAAATCTTCAAACAGAGAGGAGTTATTCCACAAAATAATTGCTTCCCATGGCAGGGACCAGACAAAGCAGTTGTTCCTGGGATAGTGCCGATTGTTAGCTATTCTGAGCTCTCACTATGCGCCAGACTTCTTCCGGGATAAGGGCTTTCCATGTGTCTTCTCCCTTGGTCCTCGCCACAACCCAGGAGGGCTCCCCACTCTCCAAAAGAGGGGTCTCTGGTACCAGGGAGATAAAGTGACTTGCCCAAAGGAATATAACTGATAAATGCCAGGGTGAGGGTTTGAATTGGGTTTGCCTGGCTCCAGATCTCAGGAGTTTTGAGAAGAAACCTGTAAGGGGTTATCAGGACCAGTTCTTATAGGATGTGGGGCCTAAGACGGGACTTTTGAAAAAATAGGTGGTGACTTAGCCTGAGACATTCAGTCACAGAACAACAGCAGCAGCCCGCAATCTTCATCAGCTCCTGTGAAGTCTGCCCAAATACGCATTGAAATTGGCATAAGGACAGTGTACCTCGTGTGCAGACAAGCTCCATGGCCCTCTCCCAACCAGACTACTGCTCCTAAGCCCCTTCTGTGTGCAAATTCCAGAGCTGCCACTGTAATAGTCATAAGAATAAAAATAGCTGCTGTTTATTGAGCATCTACTATGTGGCAGGAGCCCTGGTGGCTCAGTAGTTAAGAGCTCAGCTGCTAACCAAAGGGTCAGCAGTTCAAATCCACCAGCCCCTCCTTGGAAACCCTGTGGGGCAGTTCTGCTCTGTCCTACAGGATCACTATGAGTTGGAATCAACTTGACAGCAATGGGTTTACTATGTGGTAGGTGCTATGCTAGGAGCATACTCCCTTGGTGTATAGTCCCTATACTTGAATCCTTATAATAACACTAAAACATGGGGATTAATATTTCCATTTTATACCTAAGGAAATTGAGGCTCAGAGATGTTAAGTATGTTTTCCAAAGTCACACAGCTAGTACAACGAGTGCATGTCTGAGCTGTGATTGACACCTGGATTTGTCTGATGTTACGACCTATACCTTTGCCCTGCTGCAGAGGACATGAGGGCTGGAGGAGAGCCAGGAGCCCAGGGCCCTGCCATCCGGCCTTGAAAAGGCATGGGGGTCAGTATGTCTCCCTTTTTTCTTTCCCTCAGGGCAGCTCAGACCCCCTGCCCTGGCCCCTGCGTGTTCAAATCTGCTTAGGGCTGCTCCAAGCTGTGGAGCACCTGCATGGCCTGGAGATCATCCACAGTAACATCAAGAGGTGAGAGCTGACTGGACCCCTCCAGGCCTGGGCTGCAAGGATGAGAACAGCACACACCCCTGAGTCCCCTCACTCTGCCTCTTGTCTCTCTGCCCTTGGGTGTCTCCTCTCAGTATCTCTGGATTATGCTCCATCTCTGAGTGCTCCCCACGCCTGCCTGTCACCACATTTGTCTTTCTGAGTGGGGGTTTTCCCCACAAGCATTCCACCCGTGATGTACTGCACACCCCACTCAGTAGCTGGTCTGTACCCTCTCAGGCCCTGAGCTCTGGGCCACTCTAGGATTTTGAGCTCTTGCTCAAACCCTTCTCAGAGACCTGTCCCCTGCTTGTGTACCTGTTGGTGAAAGCAGTCCTGTGTCAAGGAGGCCCCTGCAGGTAAGATGTGCACCTCCGCACCTCATATCACTCTGCTCCAGCCACCCAAGAACATGAGATCCCCTCCTGGGCCCTGGCCGCAAACTGGCCCCGGAACACTAGCGTTCACACTTCCCCAAAGTCCTCTCCCCATGTGGCTGGTGGAAGCCCTTTTCCTCTTTTCTCTCCCCTGATTTTTATTTTATTAAACAAATAATTATAATAGCAAGACAGGAACTGAAAGGGTGAGAGGTCATCACTAACCCTTCCTCCCCGACTCATCAGCTGGCCTCTGCTCGTCTGTTTCTTTTTTCAGTCCCTTTCCACACAAAACTCTTAGCCCTAAGGCAGAGTGGTTACCTGGCTACCAATTCATGTTCCGTTTTTCCCCCTTCATTTAAACATGGTAAATAAACATTTTCCCACATTGCATATCATCATTTTAAGACACGTCTTCATATTCCATTGTGGGGATGTGCCCACCGTTTACTTAACCACTCCCAATAATGGCTGTAGGTCCCTGGGTGGTGTAAATGGTTTGCTCTTGGCTACTAAGTGAAAGGTTGGCAGTTCGAACACACCCAGTGGCACTGTGGAAGAAAGGCCTGGAGATCTACTTCCGTAAAGATTACAGCCAATATCGCCCTGAGATACCCTTTAAATCTGGAACTGAACCCACTCCTGGAGGTCACCTTTCAGACAAATAATAGATTGGTTCATAAAATACACTCGTGAGTACTATGCTCCTTTTAAATAATCATCTATATGAGACCAAATGGTCGATATTTACCCTTAAGCAAAGATGAGAAGGTAAGGGGGAGCAGGGAAGCTAGATTAATGAAAACAGAACAATCAGAATGGAAATAATGAGAATGCTGACACACTGTGAGAAATGTAACCAGTGACACTGAACAATATGTATAGAAATTGTTAAAGGGGAACCTAATTTACTGTGTAAACTTTCCCTAAAAATACAATGTAAATAAACAAATAAAAGTTTACAGCTGAGACAACCCAATGGAGCTCAGTTCTACTCTGTAACACACGGGGTTGCCATGAGTTGGAATTGACTCTATGACAATGGGTTTTTTGTTTGTTTTGGTTAATCGTGGTTATTGGTATTGGTGTTTACTGGTTAGTTCTACACGGAATATTTTTACACATGTAGCTTTTTTCTTTTTTTGTAGTAGGTGCTTTCTGAGAGTTAATTCTCAAGGGATGGATGACTGGGTTGAAGGGTATTTTCATTGCTCTTTTATTCTTCCTTATTCCGTCGGGTTCAGTCACAAAGGATGACTCATTTAGACTTGAGTCAGCTGGGCCAGGGCTGAGGATTGGAGCAGCTTTGAAAGGGATCCACCCAACACAACCTGTGAGGTTGGCAGTTGGCAGGCAAGGTGGATCAGGGTTGACATCTGTGGGGGTCAGAGAGGCTGACCTCTCTGGCCACATCGAATGCCCGTCCTGGGGCAGCAAGACTAATGCTTAGCCCCGTCCTCATTTGCTGGTTGGGGTGGGCTCCATGCCTTCCCTGCCCCTGTAAGGACTGGCTCAGAAATTCCATGTTGAGGGTCTTCAGTGACCCCAACTTGCAGGGGCTGACATTGCTCACTGCTAAGTTGTTTTCTGAAAGGATCTCCTGGAAACCTCCTCTCGTTCAGCTCAAAATGAGAGGATTCTCTTTGCTTTCTTTTCTGCAGCTCCAACGTTTTGCTAGACCAAAACTTCACCCCCAAGCTGGCTCATCCAATGGCTCACCTGTGCCCTGTCAACAAAAGGTCAAAATACACCATGATGAAAACCCACCTTTTCCAGGCCTCAGCTGCATATCTGCCAGAAGATTTCATCAGGGTGGGGCAGCTGACAAAGCGAGTCGACATCTTTAGCTGTGGAATAGTAAGAGCTTCGTTCTGCATTCAGTTGTCCTTCCCAGGGCTCCTTTGTAAACACAGGATATAGTACTGCTCATAGATATGTTCCATCAAAGTATAGCAGGGGTTGGCAAACTGTGGCCCACAGGCCAGATCTGGCCCATGGCCTGTTTTGTATGATTGCTATGAGTCAGAATTGACTCGACAGCCGTGGGTTTGGGTTTTGATTTTGGAGAGCTAAGAGTGCTTTTTACATTTTTAAATGGTTGCATAAAAGACAAACAACAAAAAAGAGTATGTGACAGAGACTGTGACCCACAGGCCTGTAAAATAGTTACTATCTGGCCTGTTACAGAAGAAGTTTGCTGACCCTTGAAATAAAGTCACTCATGAGTGACTTCATTCTAGCAGGCGAAAATATTGTCTCCTGTCTTCACTGATTCCCATCCAACCATCCATCTAATTATCTGTCCAATTGTGTTTGTTCTTGTGTTTGTGCATACATCTGTCTGTCTACCCAATCATTCACTCAACCATTCATCCAACACCCATCCATCCATTCATTCATCCATCATCTACCTGTTCATTCAGTATTCATCCATTCACCCATCCCATCCACTCATCCATTCACTCATTCCATCTATCCTATCCCATCCCATTTATTCATCCATTCTATTCATCTATACATTCCATCTAACTGTCCACCCATCCATCCACTCATACACCCTTGCATCCAATATCCCTCCACACCACCACCATCCCTGACCATCTATCATTACTATTCCTAAACTAAAACAACATCCCACCCACCAGGAGCTCCTGGTCCGGTGTAGCAGTCTCCAAAGCATATTTCTGTAGAAACACCAATTCCTTGGGATCTCTATAGGTTTGTTGTGTTAATAGGATTTTGTGTCCAAGTAAATTTGAGAAGTACTGGGGTAAGCAAAGTCAAGCAGATTTCTTTACTATAGGATGAATCAGAGCCTTTAATATGCTAATGAGCATTGTGAATTCGCCAGGCGAGGGAAAACAGTATGCAGTGTTTCCCAAACTAATTTGACTATGGAACCTTGTTTTCTTAGTGTGTCTCTCAGCGTAAGTGTCCAATGGAACCCAGTTTGAGAAATGCTGGCTAAGAAAAGTGACAGTCTTTGGCTGACCTCAGCCAAGGCCAGACAGCTCCACTGCTCTTCCTCTCTAGCCTTGAACTGTGCACTTTCTCTCTCTGACCACAGTCTCTTGCCATCTACCTCTTCTACTAGTGCCTTGGTCCTGAGCCACCTTCTGCCCCCATCCCCAACCTCTACACTCTGAATTCTGGTTCCTTGACCCCCTCAGCCCCACTGTGAGTTGCTCAGTGAGGCTCAGTAGGGCTAGCCCAGGCTCCTGCTCCTTTAAGAACCAGTGGACTAACCCTTTTGGCCACTAGGGTGTGGGCCCCACCTTAGTTACTTTCAGCTATGTGACCTAGGATGTGTCACCTACTCTCTGGGCCTCAGTTTTGTCCTCTGTAAGATGGGGATAATGATATCTATGGAGATAAATGAGATAATGCATATAAACTGGTCAGCACATAGTAAGTGCTCAAGTAAGGGAACTGTTATTATTGTTGTGGTTATGGTTACTATTCCTACCTTTACACTCTCACTCCTGATTTTGTTTACGCAGTGATTAAGAGCTGGTTGCTAACCAAAATGTTGGCAGTTTGAATCTACCAGCCACTCCCTGGAAACCCTATGGGGCCGTTCTACTTTATCCTGTAGGGTCACTATGAGTTGGAATCAACTCGACAGCAACGGGTCTTGACTTTCTAACTCAGCTCTTGGTGTCACAGTTGACTTCCCCATGAGTGAACATTCATTCATTGAGTGCCCCCAGGTTCCCTCCACCCCTTTTCTCAGTCCTGCCACTTACCAGCAGTATGATTTTGAACTTTGGTTCCTGCTGTGGGGATAACAGTGCATTTCTCAGTGTTTTCTGGTAAGCATTAAATGACCTAGCCTCTGTAAAGGGCTCAACACAGCGCCTGCCATATGGAAGGGGCAGAGGAAAGGCTTGTTTATTCATTTCCCCTTTTCTTCCCTGCCTTCCTAGCAGAGTCTGGTCAGGGAGTCCCTTTCAGTTGGCTTCTGCCCAGGGCTTCCTGAACCCCTGCTGCAAATTTACATTTCTAACAAGTTCCCAGGTGATGCTAATGCTGTTGGTTAGGGACCAATTCTGAGAATCACTAGTAGATCAGTTGTTCTCAAAATTTATTACATGTAAGAATCACCTGGGGATCTTGTTAAAATGTAGATTCTGATTCAGTATATCTGGGGTGGAAATGCAAATTCTCAGCAGGGATTGGAACCAGGAAGAACCTGTCTGAAGCCCTGCTCCTGCCCTGCCCCACGTGCGGCAGTGGTGCTCTCTGCTGCCCCCTCCTGGCTACTGCCAGTCTGTTATTAACCCTACTGACTCCAGATCAAAGGAGCACAGGTAGTGCAGTGGTTAAAGTGCTTGGCTGCTAACCAATAGGTCAGCAATTCAAATCCGCCAGCTGCTCCGAGGTAGAAAGATATAGCAATCTGCTTCTGTAAAGATTTACAGCCTTGGAAGCCCTATTGGGCAGTTCTGCTGTATCCTGCAGGGTTGCTATGAGTCCAAATCCACTTGTCGGCAGTGGCTATGGTTCTTTGGCTCCAGATCGTCTCTGTTATCCCTTCCTTTCTCTGGGAGTGGAGGATTTCATGGCAGTTAATGTGTAATTGAAACTCCTTATCTCGGTGGGTCTCTTGGGAGTATATTATTTCTTTCTAATAAACAAGAGGTGGGGGTGGGCTGTCAAGTCTAAATCTTCATACATTCACCCACTAACAATTTTATAATCCAGTTCATCTTATTCTGCTAAATGGCATACATCACTTTTGCATTCAATTGCAAATATTATAGTTGCATTTTAAAAAGAAGTTACATCATAGATAGCTAAGACACACACACACACACACACACACACACACACACACACACACACACACATATACGTATATATCTCGTTATACATATATGTCCCATTCGAATGTGTGAGTAAGCAGAGGAGGGAGCACCACAGATTATTAGTGTTTAGGGCTCTCACATGCCTTAATCCGGCCCTCTACACACACATGGAGACTTGGTGGCACAGTGGTTAAGAGCTCGGCTGCTAACCAAAAGTTGGCAGTTCAAATCTGCTTGGAAACACTATGGGGCAGTTCTGCTCTGTCCTATAGGGTCGCTATGAATTGGAATCGACTCCATGGCAACGGGTTGTTTTTTTTTGTTTTGTACACACACACACACACACGTACACACACACACAAATTTGAACTCCATCCTCCCTGCCTTGCTCTCAATTGATTGGAACCTTCTATAGGCACCTGAGAGGAGTCTTAAGCTGGAGAAGGTGTTTAGTGATATTCTCATGTTCTAGATTTGGGGCAAGTTAAGTGTCTCTGCTGGCAAGTGTCAGGGCTCAACCTGGAGCCCAGACTTTGTTACTGAGAAGAGGTTTCTCTCTTGGGCAGAATCTCCTGCCTGGCCTTGTGCGTGAGTGTCTGAACCATGTAACTGCATGTTCTCTCTAGGTGTTAGCCGAGGTCCTCACTGGCATGGCTGCGATGGACAATGACCGAAGCCCGATTTACCTGGTAAGGGAGCCAGTCATTTCTGGCTGGGTGGTACATTATAGCAACCCTATAGGACAGAGTAGAACTGCTCCATAGGGTTTTCAGTGCTGTAAATCTTTACGGAACAAGACTGCCACATCTTTTTCCCGCACAGTGATTGGTGGCTTTGAACCGCCGACCTTTCAGTTAGCAGCCAAGCACTTAACCATTGTGCCACCAGGGCTCCCAAATATAACATATTACCTGTGAAATATATTATGTGACATATAACTTATATAAATATATGTACTTTTTTGCCTATAAATGTATTTATTAATATTTATATAGCTTAGCTTCTGTTTGTATGCATATTTCAGGTTTCTGCTTTTTATATAGTACAAAAAGTATAAAATATGTAATATCTAAATACAATAAATATTAAAAGTATAAATATACATAATATAATCTATACATAATATTTATATATTATATAGTGAAGATATATATATATATATATATGGGTTATATATATATATATATATATGGGTTATACGTAACGGAGCCCTGGTGGCACAGTGGTTAAGAGCTCGGCTGCAAACCAAAAGCTCTGCAGTTCAAATCCACCAGCCGCTCCTTGGAAACCCTATGGGGCAGTTCTACTCTGTCCTATATGGTTGCTGAGTTGGAATCGACTTGACGGCAACGGTTTTTTTTTTTTGGTTGGGTTAGATGTATATGTTATTCTGACCCATACATATATACACATATTTATATGGTTCAGAATCCTACTTTTTAAAATGTTTATGTCATAGGAGATTGTCCATATAATTGTTAATAAAATTAAATTATTAATGTAAGTACTCAGCAAGTAGTAAGTGCTATATAAATGATAGCTATTATTACTAGTTATTATCACTAATAGACTATTGAGTTTATTTTGTCTCAAGTACCACGCTTTATGCTTTAATGCATTATATCATTTAATGTTGATGCCAGTCCTATGAGTAAATATTTTTATTATCCCCATTTTCCTGATAAGGAAACCTAGGTCTAGAACGGTTAAGCCCTGCATTTATGGTATGGGTGTGCTATGGAATGTCCTGTGCATGTGGGGAATTTAGCACTTCTCCAGTTAAATACTTTACTTGTTTCTGGGGTCCCTGCATTTATTTTTAAAAATGAAAATCCTGTTAGTGTTTTAGAAGTCGTAGAAGCTCTGGTATAGTCGTGGGGTGGGTGTGGCACGTGTGATTGGCTCCCAGCACCCTGCAGCTCACAGGAGGCATTTCACTCTTCTTCCCACAGAAAGATTTACTCCTTAGGGAGATTCCAAGTAGCACCACCTCGCTCTGCTCCAGGAGGATGGGCGTGGAGAAGGTGATGGCAAAGAAGATCTGCCAAAAGTACGTGGAGCAACGTGCGGGGAGGTTGCCAGAGGACTGCGCCGAGGCCCTGGCCACCGCCGCCTGCCTCTGCCTGCAGAGGCGCAACGCCAGCCTGGCCGAGGTAAGGGCCACTGGCTGGGGGCCCCTTACCTGGGACTTGGTCACAGCTCGGGAGCCCATCCTTTACCAAGACATGATTTCATAAACCAGGGCTGTATTGGGTTGTAAGTAACAGAAGCTACTGGGGCTCACTTGAGCAAAAAAGGGAAATGTACGGATAAAGAGATGTCTCAGGAACTCCAGGGCAGGACCAGACTCTCAGATGTCAACAGAACTCTGTCCGCTTTTGTCCGAATCTGCTTTATTCCTTCTCCCTGCAGCCCCCGTCGTCTTTCCTTTCCTCCATCCTCTTGGGGAAGGAATATGGCCCTACCCCTATTTACATGTTACAGTTCTACCCCCAACAGTTACCGCCACTGAGAGACTAAGTCACTGCGTCCCAATTCCAGCCTCCCAGAGAGAGAACCTGATTGATCTAGCTTGGGTCAAGTGTACACCCCTTGGTCAGTCAGGTTAGGTGAGGGATGTGGGGTCAAATATGTGAATCTGCCTGCTAAGAGCTTAACCCTGGATGGTGGAAGGGGTCCCAGGTCCCAGAGAAAGGGAGCATCCTTAGCCCATGGGCTAGGCAGACACCAAAAGTGATTAAACGTTTTCCTATGGCCTTGGTAGGTAGAGGTGGTTTCCATGGTAATAGAGATCAATTTGGAGGCCACTGCTAGGTCTTTCTAAGGACAAAATCACAGCCTGAGAGGCTTGTGGCGATCATCTAATCCATTAATTTTCAAATCACATTTGGCAGAGATGCTTCTTAGGAGCACCTCAGGTGTTGGCAGCAAGAAGGGTTGAGAGAGCTGCAGGCCCCACCCATGGGAGAGACACCCACTTTTAACTCATAATTTTATTGGGTTCTCAGTATGATTTCACTTGAGGAAAGGGTCTGGCAGCTGAAAGAACCTTCAAAAACCAGTGCTCTAGTGTAAGTCTCCCACTTAAGAGATGAGAGAGTTAAGGCCCAGAGAGAAGATGAGACCACAGAGTGAGGTTTCTGTCAGAGCCGGGACCACAGCCCCTTTCTCTGGACTCCAGATTCCGCCCTGACAACCATCTTGCCTGGTGACATGGCCAGAGCTGGAGACCTGAGTTATTGTGTTAAGCCTGGGGGGGTCTCCAGGTGCCCCAGTACCAGCGTTCAGTCATTCATCCAGCAGTTCTGTGCTGGGCCCTGGAGATTTATTGGTGAACAAGCAGACCCAGTCCCACTTCGCTTAGACTCACAGACATTGTGCAATAATTGTCTGTATGATGAGCTCTAGGTTAGTGTCTGATGGGGGCCCTACCCAGGAGGACTTCCTGAGGAAGTGATGTTTGAGCAGACGAAGAACAATCCCAGCATAAGGAATAAGCTCATGCAAGTGGCCTGAGGTGAGAGGGATCCTGGCAAATTCAAGGCCCTGGAGAAGGTCAGCGGGGCTAGAAGACAGAGAACATGGGGTAATGTGGTTCGTGAAGAGCTGGTGAGGAAGGAGAAGCCCAATGATAGGGGGTTTACTCGGCATGGTAAGGAGTTTTGGGAAATCACTAAGGACTTTAAGCAGGGGCAAAACACAATTAGATTTATGTTTTAAAAAGATCTCTCTTCCTCAACCACATATTCTTTCATTCAGGCCTTCATACCTTTATTCATCTCAGTCATTTGTTCAGTGTCTCAGGCTAAGCTGCTACAGTGAGGAGACTCCAAAGCACAGTGGTTTAAACAAGATAGAATTTTTTATTTCAGAAAGAGTTTGTGATGGGTGCTCTTGTCTCCCTCCTCCCCAAGGTGTGTGGCTCTGTGGCTGCCATGGAGAAGCAGCTCAGAAGTCAGGAGACATCGCTCCCTTGGAGTGGGCTTTCCAAGGGTGTGGGCACCTCCTCTAACACCCCAGAAGAAACAGATGATGTGGACAATTCTAGCCTTGAGGCTGCCTCCTCCACGAGGGAAGCACCCTGGGTGGGGGCTGCGTCCTCACCTCTACCCGCAGAGAATGGAGAAGGAAGACCATGGGGCAGTGGGGAAATGGAGACCAATTCCCCATCTGAGGCCTGTGCCAGCCAAGCGCCTCCCCAGGATGGTAAGCGCGTGGAGGTCTGGGTACTTACACACACTCACTATGTGCCCCTAACGTCAGCCCAGTGTTTACTCCTCCCATCCCCGTCATCCACTTGTTCATTTGGTTAGTCATCCATTCACCAGTCAGGTGATTGTACCAAGAGAAACCTGGGAGTCATTCTTGACCTCTCCCCCTCCTCCCTGCCCCCCTATATCCAGTCCATCACCCAGTCCCATATTTACCTCCCAAACATCTGTCAGCTCCACTCCTCTCCACTGCCACCCCCAGCCTAAGCTCTCCTGCTAGGATGACTGCAGTGGCTTCCCTGCTGTTCTGTCTGATCCATTCAGGCCCCTCACCAGCCCTTTCTCCAGGTGGCAGCCAGAGTGGTTTTTAAAAACACAAATCATGTCACCTTTGTTTAAAACCCTCAAGTGACTCCCCATTGCACTTGGGGATAACTTTGTAACTCTTCACCACGACCAGAAGGGCCTGCGTGGTCTGTCCTTGCCTGCTTCTCCATCCTCACTTTACAACAAACCCCCCATCCTCGCCAGCTACTCTTAAAGATAACTTCCATCTCTGAGACTCAGCTCCAAATATACCAGACTTCCTCCGAAATAAAAATTAGGAAGGTGTCTTCAATGCAGTGTCTCTGTCCCCTAGTAAATATGGCTCAATGAATGTCCCAGGCTCCAACCACTCCTATTGCTCTTCCTCCATGGGAAGGAGAGAGGGAGGAGTAGAGAGAGGCTGTAAGTGTTCACTCCAAAACTCCCTGCTTGTGGGGAGCAACGTGAAAGTCCCCTCTTCTCTGGAAAGGTGGGAGGTAAGTTGCAGGGCTTCCCTGCAGAGGCAGACGTGATGAAAATGCCCATTATACTCAAGGCCTGATTCAGAAACCTGATTTAAGTGAGAGACTCTGATTCAATATGGCTTTCTAAGAATTATAATAACAACTATTTTCAAATGCCTTTTGTTCAAGTTGCTCTTTTTTGCTTTCTGTTTAACAGCAGCTACAGAAACTTCATGGAAAATCGAGATCAATGAGGCCAAAAGGAAGCTGATGGAGAACATACTGCTCTACAAAGAGAAGCAACTGGACAGCATTGAGCTTTTTGGCCCCTGATGTCCAGGACAAAGCTGAGGACCCTTGTCCTTAATTGGAAAGATAAGAGTTAAATCAAGAAAAAGATCTGAAATCAAAGACTCAAGGAAAGAATTAGTCCAAAGGACTAATGAACCACATGAACCACAGTCTCCACTAGCCTGAAACCAGAAGAACTAGATGGTGCCCGGCTACCACTACTGACCGCTTTGATTGGGATCACAATAGAAGGTCTTGGACAGAGTGGAAGAAAAATGTAGAACAAAATTCAAATTCATAAAAAAGACTAGACTTACTGGTCTGATAGAAACTGGTGAAACCCCTGAGGCTATGTCCCTTAGACACCCTTCAAACCTGGAACAGAATATATTCCTGGTAATCACCTTTCAGCCAAACAATAGACAGGCCTATAAAGTGAACAGTAACATCTATGAGGAATGTGCTCCTCAGAACAATCAACCATACGAGACCAAACTGGCAGCATTTGCCCAAAAACCAAGTTCAGAAGGCAGGAAGGGGCAGGAAAGATAGGTGAATGGCAACGGGGAACCCAGGGAGGAAGTGCGTACAGTGCTGTCACATTGAGGGGATTGCAACCAATGCACAAAACAAAATGTGTATAAATTGTTGAATGAGAAACTAATTGGGTCTGTAAACTTTCACCCAGACCAGAATAAAATGTTAAAAAAAAAAAGGTCTGAGGCAGAATCTAAAATCTCCCATGAACCACACATACAAACATCTCCTGGAAGAGAGAGAAACTTCCATTTCATCAGAGTGAGTTAAGCGAGAAGAGACCTTGGCTTTTAGAAACATAAAAATCTGAGAAGCCCACTTCCTTTCTGGGGTTTGTTAGTCAGAGTTGGGTACCAGAGGAGACTGAAGTAGAAACCTTGGTACATGGGCCCAGGATGTGGTCAATTTTGTGGTTCCTGGAAGCATGTGATGATAACTACCCCAGCAGATGCTATTACCGAGCTCTCACCCCTTGACAACTGACAGAGCATCCTGCAATGCTAATACATTTTCCAGAGTTAAGATCTCTGGGTCATATTTGCCAACAACCCCTTACAAACTTCCGTGACCTAAAAGATTTTCAACTTGTGTCAGAATGCAGTTTTTGACTCACCTCTCAAGTGCTCATGTTTTAAAATGCCACACACTTGGCAAAGGACTTTGTAGGTTTTCAGCTTCCTCTGTTGGAAATCTACCAACACACAGATATTTATGTAGTGCTTACTTAGCATCTTTATCCTCCTATCCCACTAACGCTAATATTTTTAATGGAGCTTTTATTTTGAGAATATGTGTTATTTACAGCTGGATGAGGAATCAGCAGAACTAGAGTTTTACGTCTGATTCTGCTGCTAATTAAGTCAATCATTTACTCTCTGGAACCTCAGTTTCCTTCTATGTAAAATAACACCCACTCAGGCTCCCTCCCTGGGCTGTTGGGAGGAGCAGGTGAGACAGCCGGCAACAGAAACACTTTGAAAATGCACTTGTCCTGTTTTATAAGATAAATAAATAAAAAGTATTAAATGTATATTTCCGCCATGTACTTGACATTTATGTAGAGGATTTGTTTCTGAAAAGTCATGTTGCAAATGCTATTTTAAAGTCACGAGGAGAAGCATCCTATTTAAAATAATTCTACTACCATGATTTTTATTTTTTTGTAAAATAAAAATATCCTTGTACAGTCAATACATACCTTGTAATTTATTTTGTGTCCAGGTGAATTTGTTTAGAGAAAGTGCCTTGTATACATGAGAGGGACAACATGGGGGGTTAAGAGCTTGAGTGCTGATTCTGAATGTTGGCTCTGTTAATAGCTGTGTGATCTTAGGCCAAGTTAGGGAGTTACTCTGAGCCTCTGTTTCCTCATTGATACAATGGGGAAAATAAAAAGTACCTGTCATGTAGGGTGGGTGATTGTCAGGGCAAAGGGTGGGCCCTGCCTATGAAAGCATTTAGCAGCACCCCCAGCCAGGCCAGCTTTGATTTGATATATAGCATAACTGGGCGTGGGTCCCAGTCCAGGTGGACAGTGATCTGTCTGGACACCCCATCTCAAGCTCTGGTGGCTGTGAGGATTCAATGAGAGTGTGTCAAGTGCCCAGACAGGACTTGGCGTGTGATAAACCATAAAAAGCCCAAACCAGTTGCCACGGAGTCAATTCTGACTCATGGTGACCCTGTGTATCAGAGTAGAACTGCTCCATACGGTTTACAGGGCTGTGACCTTTCAGAATTAGATCACTAGGACTTCTGAGGTGCCTCTGGGTGGGTTCGAACCACCAGCCTTTATGGTTAATAGTCAAGTACTTGTTTGCACCACCCAGGGACTCCAGTGTGTGGTACTCGTTGCTGTTGAGTCGATTCTGACTCACAGCGACGCTATAGGACAGAGTAGAACTGCTGCATAGAGTTTCCAAAGAGCAGCTGGTGGATCCGAACTGCTGACCTTTTGGTTAGCAGCTGAACGCTTAACCACTGTGCCACCAGGGTGTGGTAAGCACCTTACAATTAGGAGAGGACGTTTCCAGGGCTGTTTGAGCAAAAGAGGGCTGACATGAATAGGGGACTGATCGTCCAGATATACTTGCGTTTCTAGACTAGGGCTTCATAAATTTTTTGGAGGAGTCAATGAGTCCCTTTCTGTGGACTTTCTCCCCTCAGCAAGCTGTAAATTCATAAGGCACAATTCTGTATATGAATTCCAGGGATTCATGGGCACCACAATGCCTTTCCATGGAACCCTAGAGGCAAGGCTTGATTCTTTTTGTTGTTAATAGATTCATATGACAAAAAAATCTGAATGGTACAAAAGGTTTCATGGTGAAAAGGAAGCCTTTTTCTCACTAGTCTCTCATTTCTTCTCCCCAGAGGCAATCACTGTTACTAGTTGGGGGATATTCTTTACAGAAGATTTATATATAAAAAAAATTTATCTTGGTACGCAATATCATTAGTCATCGGAGACATGCAAATCGAAACCACAGTGAGATACCACTTCACACCCATTAACAACAACAAAAAATCCAAACCCGTTGCCGTAGGTCGATTCTGACTCATAGTGACCCTATAGGACAGAGTAAAACTGCCCTATAGGGTTTCCAAGGAGCAGCTGGTAGATTTGAACTGCCAACCTTTTGGTTAGCAGCCAGGCTCTTAACCACTGCACCACCAGGGCTCCAATTAGGATGGTGAGAATCAAAAACACAGTAAGTGTTGGTGAGGACGCAGAGAAATTAGAACTCTCATACTCTGCCGGTGGGAATGTAGAATGGTGCAGCCACTGTGGAAAACAGTTTGGTGGTTCCTCAAAATGTTAGAGTTACCATATGACCCAGCAATTTCACTCCTAGGTATCTACAAGGGAAATGAAAACACACGTCCATATAAAAAACTTCCATTAATGTTCATAGCAGCATTATTCATAATAGCTAAAAAGTGGAAACAGCCTAAATGTCCATTAACTAATAAATGGATAAACAAAATGTGGTGTATCTGTACAATGGAATATTATTCAACCATAAAAAGGAATGATGTTCTGGTACACACTTAAATAGATGAGCCTTGAAAACAGTACACTAAGTGAAAGAAGCCAGTCACATATTGTATGAGTCCATTTTTATGAAATGTCCAGAATAGGCAGATCCATAGAAAAAGACCACTACCTGTCTGTCAGTTTGTCATACTGCGGTAGCTTGTATGTTGCTATGATGCTGGAAGCTATGCCTTTAGTGTTCCAAATTTCAGCAGGGTCACCCATGGTGGACAAGTTTCAGTGGAGCTTCCAAACTAAAACAGAATAGGAAGAAAGGTCTGGTTGATCCACTTCTGAAAATTAGCCAGTGAAAACCCTATGGATCACAACAGAGTATTATCTGATATACTGCTGGAAGGTGTGTCCTCTAGTTTGGAAAGCATTCAAATTACATAGTGGCCCCAACAATGGACTGGGGCATACCAAGATCATGAAGATGGTGCAAGACATGGGGTCACTATGAGTCATAGCAGACTTGACAGCAACTAACAACAATAGAGAAAGAAACTAGGCTAGTGGTTGCCTAGGAGTGGGGGGAGTGACTGCTAATAGTAGATTTCTTTTTGAGGTGATGAAAATGTTTTAAAATTAGAATATGGTGATGGTTACACAACTCTATGAACATATTAAAAACCATTGAATTGTACACTTTAAATGGGTGAACTTTATGATACGTAAATTACATCTCAATAAAGCTGTTAAAAACACACAGTGGTTATCCTTAGGCCTACAAAAAACGAAACAAAACACAACACCACATTTATTTTAGGACCCAACTCCTTTCTACTTTATTTTTTTTTTGTTGCACATATGCTATTTCATTAATGCTGTTCTGGACCCTGTGTTTTTTTCACATCTTTCTTGGCCATTGTTCCTCAACAGTACTTTTACATATTTTCATTCTTTTGGCCCGGTGTTTCATTGTATGATATTCCGGAATTATATAATCAGCTCCTATTGATGGACATTGAGGTTATTTTCATTCTCGCTACTACAAACAGTGCTGCCTTTCAAAGTAGTTGTTAGTTGCCCTTGAATTGGCTCCAACTCACAGCAACCCCGGGTACAACGGAGCGAAATGTTGCCCCATCGCACGCCATCTTCGTCATCGCCAGTTGCCGTTATCGTAGTGCCTCATCTTCCAGTCCGTAGGCGAGGTATGAGAGTACACGTCTCTACATCCTCAGCTACATAGTATATTACCAAGCTAATGGGTGAAAAATTATAATTGGATTTGTATTTTTTAAATGACTGAGATGGAGCCATCTTTTCAGATATTTAAGACCCTTTTGTAATTTGTTTCTGTGAACTATGGGTTCACTCCTCTTGCTCATTTTAATACCGAATATTAACATGCAGGAGTTTCTATATGGTAAGGACATCAGCCCTTTCTCTTGTGTTGCAAATACTTTAAGTTTGTACTTTGTCTTTTGACTTGGATATTTTTTGCCAGGCGGATATTTTATATTTCTGTGTAGCCTCTCTCTCTCTTTTCTTCCCGAGGGCTTCTAACTTCTAGTTTCAATTCTGCCACTTTCTAGGTGTGTAGCCTATTTCCTGCTCTGTAAAACGGGGAGATGGTGCTGCTTAGCATAGGGTTTGGTGTGGGGTCGGTGAGCAATTGGAAGCCGAAAGCGCCCGGTACAAGGGTCCGCGCTAACCTGCAGAGCGTAGCCTTCAGAAAACAAGCGCTCACAGTCGTTCCCACCTTCATAAACAGCAGGCCTGAGGAACGTCGGCCCAGCTTTACCTTCGCGCTCTTCGTGGCCACGTGAGCGGCCCCGCCCCGCCTGGCTGCCGACCAATGGACGAGTTTCATAGGAAGTAAAGTCCCGCCTCTAAGCCTCTTGACCAAGAAGCGAGTTCCGTCTTGCTTGCAGTCCCGCCCCTTGTCGTTTCGAGCAATGGACACCCTCCGTTCGGGGTAGGCCCCGCCCCCGCGCTCGTCCGGCTGCGGGCCGCAGGGCTCGTTCCGGTGGGCGTCGCGGGCACTGGTGTGAGCGCAGCTTAGGCGGGGGCCAGACCAGAGCCTCAGGAGTCGGGTGGGCGGCGAGCGGACGGCCAGAAGGGACGTCCGGGCCGTGGGGGCTGGGGGCCCGTCGTCTAGGCCGCGGCGTTAGGAACGGAAGGGGCGGTCGGGCGGGGCCCCTGCGGCTGCTGACGGGGGCTCCGCGGGCTCCTGAGGGGCGGCCCGGGCCCCTTCCGGCCGGGGGTTGGC